CCAAGGCCCGGCCTAGGCCTCCGCGCCGGCCGCGGGGCCCCATCCCGGCAGCGCCGCGGCGGGCGGCCGCGCAGCGCCGAGGCCTCCGTGGCGGGTGTGGGGGCCCCCGGCCCAGCGCTGCCCTCCCCCTGCCCGCCGGGCAGCGGCCGCCGCCGCCTGGCGCTGCCTCCCGGCGCCCGCGGCGGGAGCCTGGCCGCGCCCGGCTGTTTCATACTCCTTCTGTTCACTTAGTTTCTCCCCCAAATTTTCCGTAGCTAACTGAGAAGTTATTAGCCCGGCTCTGCCACGAGTCTTGCGGAGCAGTGCAGTGAGTGGTGCTAGTGTAGGGAGGTGAATTTCTACCCTCTCTTGAGTGGCGTGGGAGGAGGAGAGTTCATGGTGCTCAAACCAGGATTGCTCCTGTAAAAGTTAGAAACATTTTAAGGGAAAAAAAAAAAAACCACCTTCACTTTTCTTATTCTGTCCAACAGAAATTTGTGTCTCTCAGGGCTGTGCTGTGTTTTGAGGAGAAAGGAAAAGCTTGTGTRGACAATTTTATGAGGAAGCATCCTTAGCCAATTAGCAGGGAGCAGAAGTAGGAGGAAGAGAGGCCTATTCCTTATGCCCATCCCCATGAGTTGAGGAGACTGGTTGAGTTTGCAGTTGACTTCAGTAGTTGCACAGATCTTAGGGACCCTTCCTGGAAAGGGCAGGCATAGGGAGGTAAGTGCTGTTGAGAAGGTAGTGATAATCGTGGTGAAAATTAAAAGCGAGCCTGGAGTGCGGGTGTTGATATCGCCASGGAATCTGTAAATCCAGCACAGGCTGAGAAAAGGAGAAAACCTCTGCGTTATTGTCATCAGGAAAYGCTGGGGACTGTGATGTACTGTCCTTATCACCCTGTTCACTTTTTGCTGTTCAGTAGGTAGGATGTGAAACTGGCTTGCCTTCAAGTGTAGAAGAAAAAGCGATGACTGATGTTAAGTATTTCCCGGAGATCTCCCTATGCAAGTTAACACAAGTTCCCTTTCTTCACCCCATCCTACAACTGTTGTAGGCCAGCAAATCCAACTCTGCCTACTCTCAATGAATGCAGCTTTAGTCTGGTAAAGTCTCTGATCAAGTCTTGTAGAAGACTGGTAATTGGTGGGTAGCATAGCATGGTGTGTGGAGGTTTGACTTTTCCCTTGCCTTTTTCCAAGTTTTGTAACTAGCTTTTTTGTTGGTAATAAGATAATTAACCATCTAATCAAWTTTTTTTGGGAAAGTTGTGTTTTTGATGAAGTTCTGAAATGCTTTTCATAAATCGGGGGAAGAAGGGAGGAGTGTAACAGACAACAGTTTAGTGGATTTTGATACTTTTGGGATCAGAGAGTGTGCTTTTAAGAGAGAAGTAGTGAAGCTGAAAGAACTGCATATTGTTTGTAAGGMAACCCTTCTCTCTTCCAGTTCTCTCTGGAGTCCAGCTGCAAAATGAAGGGATCATAATGTCCTGTTCTTGCTGGCTTGTGTGTAACAACTAGCTGATTATGTAAAAGTGTCATAAGTTGATGTCCTTTTAAAGTGATTTTGAACTTTTATTCCTCTTTCAAAACTGTTCAGCCTTCTTGTTTGGTGTACAGTAGAAACTGAAAATACTATTTTGATGTGGTAGCTGAAACTTAGTTGTTATCAGCTGTGTGAAAKAGGGGAGAATCTACCTTGCATGACGCAAGTCATTCTCAGATGAGCAAAATATGTTACCTGTGCAAAGTCCTAAAGATAATAGGAAAGATAATAGGAAAGGAATACTGATCCTGCGTGTGGAGGAGAGGAGCTGTGGTGATGGTATTAGCTAATGCTTCAGAAAAGCCACCTTGTTAAAGTTATGTCTTCTGCCACCTTTCTACATTTGCTCTTTCTAAGCAGGTAGTAACTRGGTGGCAGGTAATACTGTAGCTTTAAATGGAGTTCTAGATTTCGGAATTTGTTTGTTCAGCAGTGGGACAGTTTAAAAATGAACAGTTCCCATAAAGTTAGTTATGCAAATCACTGTAGGTGATTTTGTAGACTTTCTGAAGGCTCTTGTTTGCTCCTTATCTGTTACGAGAAGTTGTTCAACTTCTTTGTAACTATTCCCATTGAAAGCCTGATCTGATATAGTTGGTAACATGTGCTTCTGTTTTTTAATATTTCTGACTGATGCACAGGATTATTTTCCAATACTTTAAGTCCTGTAGTCAAAGTCCAGAGAACTTCAAAACTTACCTGACAGGATGAGGGTGCTACTTTTATCATTCTAGAATGGGATTTCCATCCTGACTCAGAAGCTGTCAGAAATTCATGTCATAAACTTGTATTGTTTTTGTTCTACTCTTCTCCCTGGGTAAAGAGACCATCCTGTGATAGGCTTATTAGTAAGAGTCCCTCTTCTGGAAGTCTAGATTTTTTTAAAAATTTTTTTATTAAAGAATTTTATGACATGCGACTGACAGGTTTTTATTGCTATGGTTGGAGCTCTTTGCCTCTTCAGAACTGGCAGAACGTGTGCCTTCCTTGTCTGAAAGTGCAGTTTAAAGCTTGCCTGGTCTGTAGGTTTGGATTCAGAACAGATGAGCCAGAAGGCCAAGTTGATTTTTGCTAGGCCTCAGACCTCTAAAGGTGTTGAAGTAATACTATCTTAKGGTTACTGCTAGATGCAAGAGAACTGTCTATCAGATTCCTTAGAAGCACTTAAAACTAAAACTTTTTGGAATTTGACTCCTGTAATGTTCAGTTAATGGATTTAATGGTCAGCTATAGCTTTGAGGGTTTTTTAACTGAAGGCAAATTAATGCTTAAGTATAAAACTTCACTTGATCTTTGGCCTCACTCTTGTCTTAACTTCACAATTCCCAAAGCATTTCCCTAGCAGAAGATAGAGAATAGATTTTTTTTTCCTCAGTTACAAGCAGGAAAAGGGTGTTGCATAAATTGAGCAATATTTTATATTTAGCTATGCCTGTGGGAAATATGTACAGTTTGTTAGATGTTTTGGGATTAGCTATAACCTCTTCGAAGGAACCAGTTTACAAAATACAAGATAACACTATGGTCTCTGCAGTTGAGCTCAGCTTCACTGTCTCATTACACTGATTTTAATACCACTGAGTTGCTTTGTCACTGTTTAGACAATATATTGGCTTTTCTTGATGTAGAGGGAGCCTCTCTGTGATCTTAGAATGTTGTTTCTTGTTCCTGGTCTAACACAAGTCTTGGTTTATTTATTGGTGGGTGGTCCACATGCATTAAAATTACTTGACCTTTGTAAAAGACTTGACTCATTCCACCTCAATTTAACATCGTAGTATCTTTTTATTTTATCACTTACTGTGTTTATACATAAATGTCCACTTTGAAGAGTGCACCGGTGGTTTTCTGTTTTATTGCCAAACAAACAGAGTTTCTATCCTTGATTACTGTTCATTAGCTTCTTTACAGTGAAATCTTTATTTTTATTTTTAAAGAATGGTACTTCCTGCTTCGTACAAATGGAATATTAAATCTGGATCGTTGCAGTGGCAGCAGGCTTGCCAAATTTATGCTGTGATTACCAATATCACTGTCAAGCAAAAGTGACAAAAAGAGATCAAGGACTTATGGTGCTCGTTATGGTTTTGACTTACTGAGCTTTATAATCATCTAGTTAATGCCTTGTTGATTAACATACCAAGTGCATCTTGTGTATTGTGTCTTAAATGGCCATCATTGGAAGTACTGGTGAAAAAGTGATGTTTAAAGGTGGTTCCTCCTCCCTGAGTATCAGTTGTTCCTAGTTTTGTCTCATACTCACACTTTCAGATAAGAATGTAGCAGGATATGGGCAAATATGAATCCAAACCTGTTTTTCTTTAACTCTTTTTTTTTCCTTTTTTTTGTCTGTTGCTTAGTAGAAGTAATGGAGTGATAATTTGAATAAGTCAAACTCATTTTTAGATAGCAAAGTATATGGGTCTCTTAGTGCAAGTCTTGACTACTTAAACAATCATCAGAGCATAATTTATTGATGTGTAATGGTTTTCATTAGATGCTTACTACCTGTGTTTCTTGTAAAATGGAATGAACATTTAACTTCTGCCTTTTTCAGAAGAAATCAGTTCACTCAGAAGATCCATTTAACGATGAACAACGTGAGCGACATGAAGTAGAAATGCTAGCCAAGAAGTTCGAGGCAAAATACGTGAGTTACTGTACTTCTGTTAAAATATACCATTATTTGGTTATAATTTCTGATGTTAACATCCAGGTGACATCACTTTTTCCTGAAATTAGTTGCTAATAAATGTCAATTCCTGTGCATATCTGTTGACTGATATTTCATCTAAGCATCCTGAAGCTGCTGCAAATTTATTAGATTAATCTGTTTCTAAATAGATGTTTCTATAGGGTGTTGTAGCTTRCAAAGCTCTTCTTGGAAAAGCTTCCTATGTGAATACAGCTGAGTAATAGATGCAGGTCAATATTCATGATAAATATTGCTCTGGAGGAAAGAATTCTTATGTAAGGCTGTTGTGCACTACTAAACAGCTCTTCTGTTTTGTGCTAAATACAAAAAGAATCTTGATGCGTTTGTGCCTAGTGTAGGATGCTTCYATAGGAAGTTATTGTTGAGCAAATAAGTCATCACTTAATGAGTTTCTTGTAGCTGCCAGCTGCCTAAAGGTACTTGCTGACTCCTGAAAGTGTAGCATGGAGGACTTGAACACTGCTTTTGAGGCTTTTGCCAATAAATGGAGGTAGAAATCAGAAAATGTTGACTAAAACCACGCCCAAACAGGTCTTCAAAAATTCATACAGGTAGGGTGAGGTGATTAATTCTGAGCTGGCAATCAAACCTAATCATCGTGCTTGGGCATGTTGATAGTCTGAGTTACAGCACCTCAATAGTAAAAACAGCAGTCAGATCCTATGTTAAATACAAAAGATGCAACTTAAAGTGCTGCTTGTCTGGTTTCTTTAGATTTTCTCTGGTAAAGGCAGATTTCCTGTATGAGTAAAGGTCTATATTTTGCAGAAGTAAGTTGCTATTTCATGTTATCTTAGCTGTGATATGTAGGARAAGAAATTCCTAAACTGAAAAGAACTGTTGTGATCTTTTGGAAGAGCTGACATGAAAAAGTTCCATAGAAAAGTACACTTGAAATATTTCTATAGTTTACAAATATTATTCAAAGGAAGACCAAACAATATTATGAAGTTGCCTTCTCTGTACACTATTATACAGAGTTTATGTCAGCTTTTTATTTTTATTTTTTATTTTTTGTCTTTTATAATGTTTTTTWAAAAAGCTGCATAACTATAGCAGATGAAAGAAAGTATAGATGATGTAAAGCAATGTATGTAGGGTATGGTAAAGGTGGAAGCAATTCCAACATTACTTCCATGTTTACACATGCATCCAGAATAAGGATTGCCATTTATGGACAAGACATGGTGTTACTAAATTTACAAAAAAAAAAAATCAGTGCAATGCTCTCAAAGAAACCAGAATATCTGTAACTATTAGGAAAGGAACATAAACCAAAATAGAAACTATGATTAAACTACCGTCTGAATCCACGATGTACTCCTATCTTGAATGCTGCTTGCATTTTGATTTCTTGCCTTTTTCATTCCATGCCACACCTTACTCCACCCCCATCACCCTTCCCTCCCAAAAAAGAAAATCTCATAAAGGAAATGGCTTCTGTACAAAGAAGAATTTACCAGATTAGGACCACTAAGCGTAGAGGGTGGCTGGTGATTGATGGTTCTTTTGTTAGATACTCCCTGTTCGTTCTCTCTTCCAGTACAAGAACAATCAGTCTCTACTTACCCTCCGTGCTCCGTGGGATTATATCTTTGTACCCTGATCCAGTACAGTTGCTCGTGTTCTGACAGCATCCAGCCCTTGTAAATCTTCAGGATAGACATTTGCTCCATAGCTTAGGCTAGAACAAGGAGCCCACGAAGTAAATACYGCTTCTCTGTAACAATACTTTATACTAAAAGTGATTTCAAGGAATGATGTTGGGGCTTTTAGTTTGAATTTGTAAAGTAGGAAAGTACTAGTTTCTTCTTATACTGGTGTTTGTCTATATCCATTTAAAGGGAAATCCAGTGATCTTTTTGAATTGTAGTGTGTAGGATAGGTGATAACTTTGCATTGATTCTGCACGGTTTAAAAAAAGAAAAAACTTGATGCACGTTGAAACTTTCTTCCTTATTTTTAGTTATTTTCAAGTAAATTTCTTATAACTAATACGGTATTGGGTAGATCTTGTTGATTCTACAGGAAAGGCATGTGAATAAATAAAYTCCAGAAAACATAATATGTAAACTTAGTGTAGCATTTGCTTGCCTGATTATGCAGAATTCTTTTTGAATGGGTGGATGAATTCAGGCTTTAAAACAAATAGCATAGAAGTCTGTTCTGAATGTTCCTTTTCATTTCTGTTATTTCTCTTGACAAAGTTAAACTAATGGCTGCTTGTTGAAGCCACCACGCTAGCATGTTGTGCATTACAAAGATGTGATGCTGAATCTTGGATGGTATTTTACAAAACGTAAGATTCTTTATTGGCTGAGAACAAAGGTCCATTTAATGCATGGCAACGTAGTCCTCTGACACTAGAGGAATCTCATACTTAAGTTTTGCACAGTGTAAGTGTTCATTGCTGTGTGTTTTCAGTGTGCCATTCTAGTGCTCTAATTTTATTTCTTCCTTAGTCAAAGGCTCTGTATTGAACCTCTGTATTGATAGTATTCAACTTTAGTTATTTTTTTTCCTGTGAACTTTTGCTTGATCATTCACTTAGTTCATTGATATGTCTGAGCTTGTGTTCTCCGGCAAAGAGAATTTTTACGTCATATGAAAACATATATTGCTTTAAACCCGTTGGCTAATGTGTTCAGAACGCTTTATAGCTCGTAGTACTATTAGAAAGGCAGGGACTGTTTCCTTTTAACCTTCTGCACGTGATTCTGATGCTATCATCTCAACTCAGTCATTTCTTTGCTCACCTGAGGTGTTTAACCTTCTGTTTTTACATAGGAGTTAAGCTTTTTTTACCTTCAAACTTTCTTCTTGCCTTGCTTTCTTTCATTTTTTGTTTCATTTTTTGAATGAAAGCTAATGAATGGTAGGATGCTCTGATGTATCAGTGATACAGTGATGACTTGTGGTGTTTTTCTTTTCCTGTGCATTGCTTCATTACTCTTAATGCTCTTTTTTGGCCAGATGTGAGCGTGCAGTGCGTAATAATTCCAGTGCTTCCTGAAGAGCATAACAAAATAAGAACATGTCTTTTGTTGTTGTTAAGCTTGTACTTTGTGGCATTACCTGACTTTTATTAATACTGAATTCAGTTGTTTATTTATCATACTAAGTATTCACCAACTGTGAGGTCTTTCAGTGTTTCTTCTTCTGCATTTTGTTTACTATCCTGACCGTGTCCTGTTAAATTTTGTTTCCTCTCCACACATACCCACTGCTAGCCCCCTTGTTTCTCAAGATAAAAAATACATTTTTTGGCAATACCACAGATTGGAATGGGGATAAAAAAGTGAGCTGTTTACTGCTATCCTTTGTTTTCTAGACAGTCATTAATTTGAGTAGGACTTTCCTCTTATCCCAGGAGAGCTTGTTTTCTGTAAGCATCTGTGGACCTTATTTAAAGCTTTTGAAGTAGGACTTCCTTCTATCAAAATTCTCTTCTATCCTGGAATGTGTATCCTCTTMCTACATGTTCTGATTTTGTTCTTTATAACTTTTATTAATTTGKCCAATAGTAAAGGTCAGATTTACTAACTTATAGACTCCCTTTGGGCCATTGGAAGGCTCTTTTTTAATAAAAGTTATTGTATTTATTATGTTTTATTCCTGTTGTACAAAGATTGCTTAACTTTGTCATATAACTTGAGGTTTTGATCTGTTGAGTTCGTATTTGAATTTCTAGAATACTTAATTGAATATCATCTGCGATCTCAGGAACTAAACATCTTAACTTGCTCTGATATCATGCCTGCTTATGTTTCGAGACGAAGGCTGGGGGAACTGTTTTAGGGGAGGTGGAAGTTAAGGGCTTCAGCAGGTTAACTGTTCTGTAGTAAAAAATGATGCAGATAATTTTTTTTTTTTTTTTTTTTTTCTTTTGAGGACAAAGAATCATTCAAATGCTTTGACCAGCTGAATAAGCATAGGGTGGTTAAGGAACTCATAGGAAAGGTTATAGAGCTTGAAAACCTGAATAAAAAGTGAAGCTTTCTTTTTCCTTACAACTGTTTGATATATGTCAGAGATTCTTGTTTGCTTGCAAGAACGCACATTGGAGCTCAAGCTCCAAGTATTATCAAATGTCTAGTGTTTGATAAAAGAGCAAGGCAGACACTGTTCGAAGGAAGCTTCAGCCCAATAACAGTAATGAATGGGCTGTGATACTTGTATCTCATAAATGAAAGTCTTGTACTTAYTCTAAACATGCTCAGAACTGCGGAATGCCATGTGAAAAGCTTCCTGGGCAAGTCATCTTCAATGTATGGAGAGAGAGAGAGAGAAAAAAAAAAAAAAGCTACCATTTTAGTGAAAGGGATGATTTCTGGAGGATTCTGTCTTTAAGACCTTTACATTGGCAAGTTTGGATTTCTGTAAGCTTAGATTTCCCGAATTCTCTCTGAGCTGGGTGTTATTTCTTACTTCACTTACATTGACAGCAACACACATTAGAAAAGTACTCAACAGCATAATCTAAATTTTACTCTGTCCTGGAGGTAAGTTAGCCTATGGTTTAAGTTGCAAGTTTTTGTTTGAAGTTACTTGAGTAACTTCAGTAAGTTCATGGTTGCTCTTGGCAGTTGTGGTGATAACTCTTGCCTTTCCAAGGATTTTATCTTGGTGATGCTCTTCAGTTATGTTAAACACGAACATCTCTTGAAAGTCCCTATGCACCATATGTACAACTAACAAATCAATATATTGATCTTTTGACCTAGTCTTCGCCTCCAACTTTCTAGGTAGAAATGGTCATGTGTGAGAGAGTATATTAGTGAATGCTAGCCTATTTGTGTTTTCCTTTGTAATGACTCTGAACATCCTGAAACTTAAACTTTGTATATTATACTGGGCCTTCTGCCCCTAGTGAAAACTTTAAAAACATAGGTCAATGAAATATGTCTAAATGTGAAGTATCATAAAGGCCCTTGCCACGTGGAAACCAAGTGTTTAGTAAATGCTTTACAAGGATGATTCTAAGGAGACTTCTGTAAAGAATTTCAGCTTGTTTGCAGGAACTCAATTTGTATGAGAGTCTCTGGAAAGCTGTTCCTCCAGAAGTAGTTTCTTGAATGCCATCTGTTTCATGGATTTTAATATGTAGTACTTCACTTCCTCCTCCCTAATGATCTAACATTTGTTTTCAGGGTGGGAAGCCACACAAACATCGGAAGGATCGTCTGCAGGATCTGATTGATATAGGTTATGGTTATGATGAAACGGACCCATTCATAGATAATTCTGAAGCGGTAAGCAAGCTTTATTAAAACAGCAGTAAGGAATAGAACTATATTAGAAAGCTATTACTCTATCATGTATTTAATTTTCTTCAAATGTATTTTAAGATTTCCCATTGTAGAAATAAATTTCTTTATTCATGTGCTTTATTTAACATGAACTGTGAAATTACACTGACTGTTTGCTTTCCTGTACCAGCTGTCTGGATTACTGGTACATTATTAGTGTTGGATTTCCTGCACTAGGCAGGGTTGCTATTCTGTTCCCAAAATACCACCATATTCTTCAAGTTTTTAAATGTACTCCCTGAGGGTACCTGAAGAAAACGGAGAGTGCAGCATGGTTAAACAGCAGGTTTTGCCTCTTATTTATTTTGAATATGTTTTTTTAAAAGTCTCAAATATCAGGAATATTTAGAAGTGTGTGAGGTCTTTTCTACATCCTGGAGGTAGAGTGAGGAAGAAGCAGCTCAGAAGAAGGGATGATGCTAAGAACATCCTATAACTTGTGTTTACCGTATGGCAGGAAGAATTAGGTTCACTGTTTAGCCAAGTAAACCAGCCTTCAAGGTCTTCCACCTGTTGAGTGACACTGAACAAAACAGCTGCAAGAAAAAGGCTGAAAGCCGAGTGGGGGGAGAAAAGACGATGAAAAGGAGTTGTGAGAAAAGCACCAAGGATGCCTGTTACTTGTGTCATACGCTGCTCCTCAGTTTGAACGTGCTACTGAATCGTGGAGCTTTTGGACTGAATATTGTCTTTGTGCATTGTTAGCTGTGGTGAATCAGTCTGAAGGTACATGAACAAATAGTGTGAAAAACAAGTTTGCTACAGATGCTGCTTATCTTGGCTTGTGTTTGTTATTCTTGGTGTAGACTAAAATTCGAGTTGAAATGTATCCTGTCATATCCATCAGCYTTTGGTTGTACCACTGGGACTTGGTATGTCCTATCCAATCTCAGATTCTCATCTTCAGTTCAGTAATCACAGAAGATGAAGTGCTGCTTTCCTTTGAGAAACCAGTAGCCTGTAGGCTGTTTTCTCAGTATTGTTCAAGGCAACTATCCTCAGTTTCAAAACTTTATAATACAGGAAATGAGCTGTATCTTATTTTTTTTATGAATTTATCATGAATAAATATGATAATCTAAATTCAGATAACATTCATAGCACAGGACTCTCGATGCCTTTTTTTGAATCTAGCAGGCTGTCTGGATGCTGCGCCTGCTTCCAGGGCTGCTGYTGTCAGCAGCAGATTCATGAGGTCTGCAGGAGCATTTCTGATGGATCTCCTGCCAGACTCCTTGCGAGAACATAAAAGGCAGTTGTCAGAGGACCAGATGGTTGTGTCATGTGGTAGCTGTGGAAGCTGCTGGGGAGAACGGTGTATCCTCTAAGGACTGCCCTCCTGAACAAACCATTTTGCCTTGTGTCTGCATTACAAATGGACTATTGAGAGAGCATCCCTCAGTTCTGCTTTCTTCCCCATTTCTATATATAAAAGCAGATAAATGCACTGTATACCAGCTGCTAGTCTAACAACTTGTTGCTGAGCTGAAGGATTCTGTAATGTAGGAGTTAAGTTTAACAAAGCTCTTATTCCATCTCTGTTAGATGCGAATGGAAAAATGTTCAGAAGGAAAACTTTTGTATCTGGTTTGCTCATCTTTTATGTGGCCACCTATTAAATCATAGCATGCCTTAATAGATGTCACAGACGGGCCCAGCCTAGACTTATCTTTCAGAAGGAAGGATGCTTTCTGTCATAGAAAAGTGATATCTTGGACACAAGCAGTTGAAAAACGAGTACAGGAGTGCCTCTTGAATTGCTCCAGGGCTGGAGTTCTGTTGTCRCCCTGCTTATTCCCTGTAAAATTGAAACCTGCTAGAATTTTAGTCCTTTTTGTTGATTCTTGGGGGATGGGAAGGGGGGAAAGAACTCTTCGGCACTGAAACAGACTTGCTCCTTAGCTTTAGAGAGATTCTCCTTCCAAAACTAGATTTGCCACCAATTGTTGCTGAAGAAATGAAAGAGTCAAATTCTAGGTCTATTTTTTTAGCACACAAGCAGTAGTACCAGAAGCAAAGTTCATTTGCACTTATTTCCAAGTAAACAATTCTGCATATTTAATGTATGTGCGCACTCACACACACACACATATATAAAAAATAAATCTTCTGGTGTAGTGTACTAGATTACTTTCCTGTAACCTTAGTGTAACTGCTCCTTTTTTGTGTGGCTTTTTAAAAAATCAAAGTTATGTGCTGCAAATCTGTTGGTGATGCAGTTCCCACRTGAGGGGCTCTATAGGGCTGGAGTGCAGACTGCTCCAGCGCATGCATTTCAGGAGGAAGCCTCTTGGAAGGTGCTGATAGAAGGAGTCTTCTGTGAAGCAAAGGAGGTTCTTCTCACCCATGAAAGGATGTTGGTGCCTGCCCTAGGAAAGTATAAGGTAGAGTTTAGACTGTTCAGTAAGCTAAACTGTCTCTTCAGTGAGATTCTTCTAAATGATCTTGTAGTTCTGCTTTCATGGCTTGCTCAGCAAAGAATATTTTCCTACAGCATAACTGAGACTTCTACAGTATGGTTGTATTTGAACTGTCAAAGTCCCTGGGGTGACCGAACATAGGAAGGCAGAGATTTCTAAAGGGCGGTTTTGAGTATTCAAACATGAAGCTAGCAAAAGGAAGATACAGGAGAAAGGGGATTTTACACATGTTAGACTAAATGATACCTTCAGTTCCTGTATCCCCTCTTTCATCGAACTTGTTTCTTCTTACAGCAAAACATACRTGGTCACATGTTGTTGTTTTCTTTGGAGATACTTGATATATATGCTATTCATATTTTTTACCTTGTTGCCTGCCTGCCCTYGCTAATCTTATTAGCGGGCCCCATTTGGACCATCTAATCCAAAGGAATGGATTTTCCTCTCTGAATGGAATTGCAGACAGGTGGGAAATCCATGTTTCAATTTCTTGTTATTTTGACTATTCAGTGAGTGCTGAACTTCTAATCTAAATAACTGTTTGCGTCTTGTGAGCATCTTGTTCTTATTTCCAACWGTTTGAAAATTCCTTATCCCTACTTACCCTAGTAGACTTCTGCAATATTAACACACAAAATGTACATAACCTACAAAGAGCTGTCTATCCTCACTGCTTCAGGGCTGAAAATGGAATCTGCTGTGGTGTGACTTGCCAGGTGGTGTATTCCATGTGGAATTCCACCTGCATGTATGCATACTTATGCATGAGAGTCTAATTTGGCTGGGCTACTTGGTGTTTCAGTGACCTCCAGATAYTGGACTTGTTGAATGCATACCTCTTTATATATGCATTACAGATCCCAGGAAAATATGATGGGGTCTCAGAGCATCTCATCCTTTCTGCTGTGTAGTGTAGGAGAGGGGTATGAGATACTACACGCTCACTATTTGCTAAGAAGTATGCAGTTGCTCTTAAGCAGAGGTAAGTAAGGCCTGCACATTGAAAAACAAAGACCAGCCAGTATCTTCCCCTGCTGCAGGGTAGATGAATACAGGGGGAGAACTGCCTGCGTGTAAATGTGTAAGCAGCACAAGTTCCAACTGCTCTTTGCCACAGGAGCACAAGTTCCAACTGCTCTTTGCCACAGGATTTAAAAAAGCTTAAGCTAAAAATATTAGCTTACATATATATTATGTGGAGAAAAGACCACCTTTAGCATAGAAAAATCAAGGAAGGGAAAGTTTCTACTTGCTTTTTGATGTCATCCTGGGTTAGGCAATTTATTGTTCCATGTTGACCTTACTCAGAATAATAATGTGTTTTGTGTTATTTTGTCTTTCTGAAAGGTAATTTTGGCCTTTGTGTTAAAATTTGGCCTTAAAAATGGCAGGTTAGAACAGTACATTTAAATTGTTACACCTTTAGAGACATAGTTAAGAGACTAGTCAGCAGTGTTTTAAGTACTTAAACATGCAGTTCACTCTGTAGGCTTTTTTTGGGCTACAGCAGCCATAATCAACATGACTTCTAGAGCTTGAATTCATTGAGTGGGCTCATGATGATCAAAAGTAAATGGGGAAAAAAAAACAATTACTTAGAGCCATTTCAGGTATCCTTAACAAGGAACAAAAATGTTTGTCTTCTATCTAAATATCTCACAACAAATAAGGCATAATCTGCAGTTTTAAAGACACTTGTACAGGTTTGCAGCAGACATCACTTTGAAGATCTGTAGGTTGTTTTGTAGTGCAGAGGTCAATGAAGAGAACTGCAAGTAGAATATCTGACCACAAGAGCAGATAATACAGGATAAAATAAGTGTTATGCATAAGCAGGACTTGATTTTGGAAGTAAATTGATAATCTGTAAAACTCATTCTTTATACACTTTTTAAAGTCTTTACATTGCTTTTTACATTTAAATGCTTAAATAAATTGAAGACACTAGAAGAACAATAAGTAACTCAAGGACAATATTTGAGATAAACTTACAGGTCTGCTTTTAGGCAAGCAGACATTATATCAGTCTTACTTTATAGAACAACTCCATGATCTAAAGTGAGACAAGGCTTATTTTGAAAAGGAAAAGTAAACTGTGCAGTAAATATAGTTGATRAAGGAGAACTGAATGTCAGAGGCTTTTGGAAGTACTACTCAATTCATGGTTCTCAGCAGAAATTGTTGAAACTTCAGCTGTGAAGTTACGTATCCACATCTTGCTGACCTAGCTTCCCATTGCTTACTTGCTGACTGCTCTGGAAGGGTTTGTACTCTGATTTGTATATTGAATGAAGTCTGCCTTTTGCTTGCTCCTAGAGATCTGTGCCGTGTTGATCATGCTGTTCATCACACTCATCTTCTATAGCAGTGGATGGTTTCCTCACTGAGGACTGTCTTTATTGTTGTCTTCTATTTYAATGCTTTTGCTAGCCTGGGCCTTTTGGTTCTTAACCTGTATTTTTGGTTGTATATTCAATATATTTTACCTATTGTGCAGTGAGAATGGGCTAACCTGGTAACTGACAATCTGCCTGGCACCCTTCCTATAAGTGACTGCACGTCTCCAGTTCTCATTGTGGGAGTGTGTGTAGCTGGCTACTAAGTCATTCAGSCTGCTGAAATCTAGCACATATTTCACCTTAAGAGAGGTGCAGCAGAAGGCCTGTTGGTTCAAAGCAACCAAGGTGGTATTTTGTTCTCTTGTGTTCTACTTAACTCTTAATCATCTGACCGTGCTAACAGACTTGTTTTATTGCTTACAGATGTAACTTGGAATTGACTTTTTTCCTCAGCCTGAGTGCATACCTTCAACGTGTGTTTAAAATCCTCCGCTTTCTTTCAGCAGAAGGGTAGAAATCAGGTCTTACTTATTGCATTATTGTTGTGTGTTTCTAGTCATTGTCATGTTTTCTGGGTYCTGTAAAGGCTTCCTGGATAACTTTTATTGGCAGACATGCTGCACAGACATTCTTCTTTATGCCTCCAAACAGCCAGTAGTGTCTAGGATTGTGTTTGTTGCTCAAGTCCCCCATCTTGCTGCTTTCAGTATTAGAAAGCCAAAGTCAGAGGAGTTTGAGGTAGTTCAGGACAGTATTGTCTTTCTGCATAGCGATAAGGGCATTATCAAGGCAACCATTCCTCATTTCTCTTGTATATATTTTGTTGGTATTGATGCATAAAGTTAGAATGACTCTGAGTTGTCTCTGTTTTGAAACTTTGCCAATAACAAGAAATTTCCTGGAGATTAACTGAGTTATGATAACGCTTGGGGGAGAATGTCATACTCTTAAAAAGCTGCTGGTCATAAAATGGTAGAATTATCCTGTCTTCCACCATATTTAACATTGACCTTTTTTCCTGTATGTCTTTGGACTGTAATATTTTTGACATATAGCCTTGTAATTTAACTTGAAGTCCTTCACGTGTACTGAGCACTATGCAAAACAAAGCAGTGTGTATAAGAGGCTGAAATCTTTCAYGGCCTCAAACCCAGTGTAAATGGAGTGAGAATATCTGACTTGCAGTAAATAAGTACTATGATTGTCATATTTTTATGTTAGGCCATCTCTTGCTAAACACCTAGAATCATAAATAAGGTAACATACTGTGGTTAAGTTTTTCATAATGGGAATAAGTTATTTTAACAAAAGAAAACTGCGGAAAACTTTAAAAGAGGGAATAGGTACTTGAGCAGGCAGCATGGTTAGGAATTTTACATGCAAAGTGTGTTGGAATAATATGGGTCTGTCACATGCGGTGCAGGGATGTGTATTAATAAAAATGAAATGGAAAAGACTGGAGCTTCACTGGCACTGTCTCAATGGAAAAGACRTGTAACCTGAGGCAGGGGTTATGCTTGTTTTACAATAGCAAACTTCAGATAYGTTCAGTTTCCTGTATATAATAATATAAAATTTTGTAAAATTCTGATTTTTCAGTTTGGCATCTTATTACTTTTTTTTTCCTCTGGAGATGATGGCAATAAATGCCTGTAGCTAACTTTTGCTTACAGATAACTATAAAGGCCCATGGTAGTTTTGTATGAATAATGGAAGGTTTTGCTAAGAAACTGCATGCTGTCTTGTAAAACTGAAGTTCAGTAGACCTCTGAAACTTTCACTTAGAAAGTATAAAGCTACTTTTTATTTTTTTTTAATGTTTCTATTGTGTTCTTAAAGCTGTAGTGGAMAAAACCAACTTGTTTTGTGTGTCTGCCTTCTGCCCAGCCAAAACAGGCAATAAACAGTTAAGTTAGGCTGTTCATAAGCGGATGATACTTGATTATTTGAATAGTTTATGCATTTTGAGATTTACAGTATCTTATGGCTAGAAGGTTAGAGATAGAATGCCAGGGAAAAATAAWTAGAAGGCCCTCTCCTCAGAGGAAAAAATGCCTATGTGCCTATCCTCACTTCCTTCAGAAAGCACTTCTTAATACTTTCTCTTCTTCCACATGAACTTTTCTTGCAAATAGAGATGTTATGTTGTATTATGAATGTGCTTCAGCCAATAATTTTCAAGTTTCCTGTTTCTATATTAGGAAACTGTACTGTGTACTTGTATTTAATTTTTTATCTTTAGGGACTTGTAAATAAATGACTGATCTGTATTTTATTAAGAAATACTAATGAACTCATTACCTTGTTTCCTGCCCAGTATGATGAATTAGTTCCTGCATCACTGACAACTAAATATGGGGGATTTTATATCAACACTGGTACCCTGCAGTTCCGCCAGGCATCGGACTCRGAGGATGAAGACTTTGCAGACGACAAAAAGCACATGCCACCTAAAGTGAGTGATAATAATGGTACTTCATACACAGAACTTAGGGCTAGGTGGAAATTGGGAAAGATCTGATATGATTAGAAGCTCTCAAATAAGGAGGTTGAGAACAGAATGAGGCCAGCATTTTTCTGTAGCAATTTCTCTTTTGTGGGGAAATAGCTCATGTTGTGCCCCGGTTATTTGGGTTTGTAAGGCGAGGCGTCTGTGTAGGCAGTCAAACRAGTTATGTCTGTCCAATTTAAGAAGTGATAGGGAGTGCCTAGATTTTACAGGAATTTTCTTATGTAAGAAGAAAATGTGAAAATGCTCCAACACTGCATTTATAGTCTTACTAAAATCTGCATGTTTTATTCCTAATATGCAGAATAACACTTAACACAAAATACCTCTTAAAATACAGTTTCATTTAGAAGATGATTTACTTTAAATGTTTATAAACTGTCTCTCTTACTGTATTTGTATACTTCCAGAAGTTATGGTCAATGCAAGCATAAGAGCTTGCATATGACAGTCTCAAGTAACATGATGTTCCTTGAACTCTTTCTCTGTGCTTTTTGCATTTTAGATTGTTTTTATATATAGTAGATAATTTTAGAATCTGGAGAATATTTTTATTATTGCAAACTCTGAATAAAATAACTGTTTAGTAAGATTAACAATGAAGGCTTGTTTGGAACTTCAGTTGTTACTTGGGAATCCAGTTCTGTTTATCATTTCACATAAGATACTTTCCATGACTGTAAAAACAAAAATTAAATAATTCCTTATAAAAAGTTTGTAGTTAGAATCAGAAAGCACAAGGAAGGTATTGGGTCTTCTAGAGATGAAGAGGTGACAGTTGCTTACCTGTTTGTCGTTTTCCTTCCTTCCTTCCTTTCCCCTATGCTCTCCTATGGTAATGTCAGCTTTGAATCAGAAAATGTAGGGAAAGGAAATTTTGCTATATAAAAAAAGAAAACTTGTAGAAGGGGGGGGAAAAAAAAAGTTGTGCTTTATTTGGTCTGCTTTGCAGATAGCAAAGTTGAAAGAAAGTGAAGATCGTGGAATGAAGAAGCGCAAGCGGAAGGATGAAGAGGCGGAGAAGGAGAAGAAACCTCGGAAAATGAAAGTTCCTAAGCAGCTGGGGTACGTTTGTTTCCTTAGATGGGCTTCTTAATTGTATGTGAGGCTTGTCTGCACACCATAGCAAAGTTTCCATAGCTCTTTAGAATAAAGGGGTTTTTTCAGACCTAATTAATAGGATTTAGGGAAAAGTGCCCAATTTGAGTAACATAAATGTTGATAATGTATGTCAAATTTCTAGCAGTCAAGATAAGTTTTTTTAACCTATGTAACACTTAAAGCAAGCTATACCTTCACTGGGGAGACGGATAAATTTTGAAGTGTTTTAGCAGCATGTTTAAATTGAAAAGTTAAGAATAAACAAACTTGGCCTTAGCTATATAAAATGTAACAGAAAATTGAACAGCCTGGAATCACGAGTGACAAGTTTTGTGCTTCCATCCTCAGACTATTGCCATATATCACATCTATATATATTTATATAYGTAAGCTTTCTCAGATTTATTTTAATTGTACTGGATATTTTTGCTTAAGATTGCATGCATTAGAATCCAAAGGCTTGGTTTCTAATGAAAGATTTCTCTTTTTTCTCTACAGAGCAATGGCCTTAAATTCACACAAGTCTGAAAAGAAGAAAAAGAAATTATATAAAGACTCACTTTCTCTGGCTGCCATGATCCGTAAATTTCAGAAGGAGAAGGAAGCCATGAGGAAGAAGGAATCTAGTCCAAAACCTCCAGTGACTATTGCAACCTCTACCCCTAGTAAAGTTCCTTCTTCCTCTCTCAGCGCAGGAAATGATATCTCTGACTTGAACCTCAGGATCAGTGATCCTGTCCTCTCCATTTTCGGTAGCACAAATGAACGTGAGCTCCTGCAAGAAGCTGAAAGTGCCCTGGAGATGCTGGGGGACATTGACTTTGACAAGCTGCTTGACGGCGCTTCTGATGGCAGCCCGGTCTCTGAGCTGTCGGGAGAAAATGGCAATGTCACTCAGGCAACCTACACCTCTCAGGTCATGACACCCAAGCAGGTGCCGGCCCTCCCGGAAGGTCTGCCCATGCTCCTTGAAAAGCGCATTGGAGACCTTCGCACAGTAAGTATGACTGCAGTGGTAAGAGGTTGCATTCAAGGATCTGAAAGAATGAGGAAGAAGAATTAGGGCCYGAGCTGTCCTCTGTGGAAAAAGTGTCTGAAGCACTAGAAGAATGTAGCACTGAGCTTAATGTTAACCTTAAYGGACGTAATTACGACTGAGGCAAATGTGACCACTGAGATAATACAGGTTGATTGTTGAGGAGTTATTTCCCAGTGGAAATAAGGTTTTCTGCTTAATCTATGATATAGAATAACTTGTAATATTTTTCCATAAGCAGAGTGTCAGTATTTCTTTCACTTGAATTAACAGTTGGTAAAATGGATGGTTGCTTTCTAATTTGTGCTGGAGAAGAAACATGGAGTACCACTGGAGCTCATAATCCAATGTATGCTTTGAGTTCTGACTCTGTAACATGAGTGTCCTGAATTTGTCAGGAGAGGAAAAAAAAAAAGTCATACTTTCCTTTCGGAAGGTTGGAATGGAATCCAAATATTTTTCAAAAATGCTAATGGAAAATATTAATTCCCTAGGTTCCRAACATTCTAATAGCTTATGTAAAGGGAACAGATGTATTAAGGTATCTTACTATACTCCTTGTTTCAGTTGTGGATGTTATATTAAATTGAGAATAAATCTGTTTGATAGTTCAGGTTCTAAGACTACATACAAACCTGTCCTTGCTCAGGAGAAAACAGTTTTCTTATTACCCAAAACAGAATGTAGCTGTTAAGCTTTGAGAAAGTGTTCGCCATATCACCTTCTTGGAAAGCAATAATGTACACAGAAGCAGAGGTTGCTTTGCTGTGGGTTAGATGTTATCGTTGCTGTTTTACCTATATGTAAACTTCTTACAGTGTTCTTTAGTTCTGAAATGTACTGAGTTAACTGTAGCCAAGGGATTAATATTTATTAAAGCAAGTGAGAAGTTTTTGTCTACCTTTGAGTTTTCAGATTAACTTTACTATGAATCACCAGGAACTTCTTAGTAGAAGGGACAGATGTAGAACTCTATTAGGCCAAAAATCAGTAAATATTAGTGCTAYCTAATTCACTACCCAAATTGACTCTGCTGCATGGTACAGCAAGCCAGMCAGATTGAAGCAAGTTTGAAGTCCACTCATTCTGCAAATCCCAGCTCTGCAATCTTGCCTGTAATCTTTGTTTTCTGGAAGTGTTGGGCTGGCTGAGCAGAGCGAGCCTGCTCACGAGGTTTGGAAGTAGCCCTCTGCCTTTTCCTATTTGGGAGAGAACTGCACTGCACGTTGACCTACAGAGGCAGCTTCCTTGCTTCCTACAAGTTGTCCTCAGCTGAAACACTGTCAGTGAGGTAGAGCACTTTTCTGAAAATCAAGAGAAAAGGGTTCCTGCAAACTTTTTTCATATACTTAATGGGGCTCACAGCTTTAGTGCTCTTAGTATAACAAAAACTGAAAAGCTTATAAAGTTGTAGGAAAAAGCCTAGTTCCATGAAGTTATGATTAAATAAATGGTTTTTTTAAAAAATATGTTTGGAAACCGTTGGATGAATATGATTAAAAACCTTCCATTCTCCTTTCCTATCTTCCATTTGTCCAAATGGGCAGTTGTAAAATACCTTGACAAAAGATAATACTGTACATAACAGGAAAGTAATAAAGTGGCCTTTTTTTGTATTGTCAAGGTAGTTGTCCAGATAAAATGGTCCTCGAACCAAAAAGTTCAGTGATAACAATGTGGTTTTGAATATCYCAATGTAACTCTCTTCAAAGACCACACATTGCACTGTATGATTATAATATTACAGTCAGCTCATCTTCCTAAGACTCCAACATCAAGGTGTATACCCTTTCTTTTACTTTAAGGTACTAATTGTTATGTTAATTATTCTTAAGGATACTGGTTTTAAGGCTTTCAAACWATTTTATTGGTATCTTATTATGCAAAAACATCCATAACTACATTTTTAGAAACAAAAGTTCAAATATTTTTTGGGCAGATGTGGTATATCCTTAGCAAGTAGTAAAKAAAGTGTAGTCCTTACAGGAACTTTAAAAATGTTCATGACTAAAATAACAAAGCATGCAAGATGAAGGGCCAAAGTATAAGTTCTGAAGTATAAGACTACTGTTTTTTTTTCTGTGCAATATAGAGTTCATAAGGATAGAAAGTATTTTCCTTTCCAATTGAAATGGGACCGTTGCAAAGAGCTAGAACAATAAGTATTTTATAGCAATAAAGGGATTTTATCAAGTCTTTTATCATTTATCTGCAGTTTTTAGCTCTGATAGTTTACTGACCACTGTAAGGCACAATTATTCAGCCTTTAAAATCTGTTTGAATCATTGGTCTTGTAGCATGCAGTCTGCCTGTATTGTTTGGCATTCAGTATGATATCACACTTGGGAATATAGAGTCACATTTAAAGGAGTTCTGCATTGGCCTTCCTGAGAGGCCAGGAAAAAAAAATAAAAATAAAAAAAAACTCATAACAAAAGGAAGTATCTACAGGAATAAGCTTACCTTTTTTTTTTTTTTTCTTTCTATCCCAAACAGAGTCAGGAAGAGTCCAGACAAAAATACCAAAGTACTAGAGTGGGGCACAATTTCCACCTTCATTCCTCACGTCTAAAAATGGAGAGAATGCTGGTCAGCACCAGAAAGAGGGTTGAGATATTTCTCTAGTGTACATAATTCCTTTGTAGAAAGTGCACTGGGGTCGAGATCCGTCTCGAACACTGCAGAGTTATGACTGGGCCAGGCCCCATAGTAAAGGAAGAAAAGCAGCRTATTATGGATATGGATTGAGAACAGTGTGATCTGTCAGGCAACGCTGCTGTTCTTAAGCAAACGGTGGTACCAAAATATCGATGATATTATATGTGAGATATTAAAACAGAGTTCTCTACCAGTTTTTTTATACAGTGTTTTTTGATGAGAATAGTATGCTAAACCTAGTGATCTAGGCACTTTCCAAGTAAAATGACTGCTTGCCTTAGAAAAAGGAGCTTTTATTTGGGATGAAGAGTAATCTTCACCTCTTTTCTGAAGAACTGAGTATAATTTTTTTTTGTATAATGCTGTTTTTGCGTAATGCTGGAAATTAATAGATACAGCTGCAAAGCTGGAGCTACTAAAATTGTTGGGATAATATGTGTTATGAACATTTGGGTACTTTTTATTGCTGTCTTTTCAGGCCGCAAAGATGTTTGATGAAGAAGGCAGGAAAAAATTTTTCACACAAGACATGAATAATATTCTGCTGGAGTAAGTGCTTATCTGTACAACTTCCCCCTTTTTGGAAAAGGGGGTGAAAGGAAAAGTATGGGAGAGGAGGTATTACTGAGATTGTTCCASAAAAGATTTTAACAGTCAGGGAAGACAGATCAGCCTAAGCTAGTTCCTAGTGAGATTTGTATATGAATATAATTCTTGTCCTAAGTATCTGTCTGTCTTTATCCACTGTGAAGTGTTTTGTAGTGCCCTGTGTCCTTGACTCTGTGTGCGAAATTCAACAAAACTCTGCCATTATTTTCTTCCTGTCCCCCATTTTCATATACTTTAATGCCTTCAGCTTTTGTGAAGGAAAAATGCAGATTTTTCTGACTCTGTAATCCTTCAACAAAGCATTTGATATAGAAAGTTTTGTGTTTAAGAAACAAAGTGATTAGTTGAATCTAATTGCCAAAATTGACTCAAACGTAATGTATAATTGTGTAAGGAAACTAAATTTGAATATCAGTGTTCAACATTGCTAGGAAAGTATGTACCTGAAAGTCTTTTGAATGGTCTTTCACCATTGGTCAAGACTTTCACCTTTACAAAAGGTTAGTTTAATGCCTTTGAAAATATATCTCCAACTGCTATTTTTTAGTATGCATAGCTCAAATATGTTATGCATACAGAATTTCCTTAGGGTTTTTGTTCAGTCGTCATCTTCATCTTGGAGTGCCTCACTAGTTGGCTGTCTCTTGTTTGTTTGTCAGTATTGAGCTACAGTTACAGGAGATAAATCCTGCCATCCGCAATGGAGTGTACTCTCACCTTGAGGCTTTTGTGCCATGCAATAAGGACACACTGATAAAGCGTCTGAAGAAGTTACACCTCAATGTCCAGGTAACGGCGGGGAAGAGCAGCTCCAGCATAAGTCACTTACATAGTAGTGAGGACAGGGCAGAAGATCAGAGCAACAGCCATGCAGTCTCCAGTGAGGGATTTTTTTTAATCCATTACTACATCGTTTTAAATGCTGTTTCTCTGTGTGCCTATTAGTGTGGCTATTTTGAGAACTAGTGTTTGCTAAGTTGTTTAGACTTTTCTGTGTATGACAGTGAAATGTTTTCATTTTGAAAGTTGGATACAAGATGCATATTAAAGTAGCAGAGCAAGGGAGCCATGTTAATCCTTGTTGGGACAAATGCTTTTTTTTTTTAAAGACCATTTTGCTAATATTTGTGTCAAGGAGAAGAAAAAAAATGGTAGGTTGTTAGATGAACTAACTTGTCTTTTGAGCCAAAGTCTTTGTGCTTTGATTTTTTTGCATCTACTTTGTCTCATTTACAGTAATTTTTCTTTTAAAGAATAGATATGCATTCCTCTTGAGTAGAAAATCTGTTTTGATATAAAGTGTCCTGACCTGGTTCTTTAGATGAAGTAAGACTAAAGAGGACTAAAAGCATCTTGGGAGGGAATAGTGTCACATCCTATTCCTGCATTCGGCAGCAGGACATAATGGCACATAGTTTTATAGTTATAACTACTTCTGAGAGCTATAAAACTATAGCTATAACTCAGAATGCAAAGTCAGAAGAAGTAGGAAGAGAATATAAAACACATATAGGTAAGTGTATGATATTGTTTTGGTGTTTAGAAATGATCCTAAATATGCAGTCCTGATTGTGCTCATTACCCACATTTTTTATAACATTTTTTCATTACCCCCCCATTTTTTTGGGGGGAGGGCGTGATTTGAATCATTATTTATTTGCAAGTGTTGGGATGTTCCTCAACGCATCCTTCTTACTTTATTCACTTCTATTTCTTGACTCTTTTCGTTTGAAAGGGTTGCTCAATGAGATCATACTGTAATGTTCATGAAGCAGTTCTTTGTATGTGGCTACCTTTCATGATTTCTGGGCTTAAGACTACCTGAATTGTACAAGTTAGAAGTGTGTGTATATTTATACTGTTGTTGGACCCTACAGATTTAATCAAGTACCATGTAGGAAACTGCTGCTGTAGTCAATTGTGTGTACTGGAAATACTGTCTTTTGGGAGTGAGAGGAAAATAATTTCTTGAACTCTACAAAATACACTATGCTTGGCATCAACAGGATCATTTTGATGTTTATCTCTTCCCAGGATGACCGTTTGAGAGAACCACTGCAAAAGCTGAAACTGGCTGTCAGTAATGTCATGCCTGAACAGTTATGCAAATACCAGGAGGAYTGTCAGGCCCGTAATCAAGCCAAGAATGCCAAGTAGGTGCTCCTAGAGTATGTGCATGATCATTCTAGAGTGCAGCCATCACCTAATTGTTCATTTCCTGAGCTCAGTCTAGTAGTATGCCCCAGTTTCTTTGTACATGCCTGTAAGTTTTGAGTTGTACAAAGTATCTGCATCACATAGATCTTGAGAGAGAGAAATTGCAAACTGAGAAGAATACTGGAGACCTCACCATGCTAGATTAATAGACAATAGAAGCAGGCATGTTCATGTTCTTGACTGAACATGAATATTTTTTCAGTTAAGGGAAACTTCTTGTAGTTTCCCTCCTAGCTAGCTTGTTTCAGAATTGCAGAAACTGAATAGTGAAGTGAATAGATTACTTAGAAATGGAAAGAGGCCAAGCAAAGACACTATCTAAATTTCATCATCRCATCCGTCCAGTGTACTGTTTTTGCTTGTGATGGTGAGTAGGGAGGGAAATCAACTATCTACATCTCCCTGAGGTGTATAGTAAGAATCTGAAGACAGATTTGTCTTTCCTGCACAACTGGGTACTCCTTTCTTACTTAAACACAAACTTAAACAGTTTGTGACTGTTCTTTATACCTATAAATAAAATAATTGTTCTAAACTTAGGTTACAAGCAGAGGATGAACGAGAGAAAAATGGATCGGAGGAAGATGATGATGAGAAGCCTGGAAAGAGGGTTGTAGGACCCAGAAAAAAGTTTCATTGGGATGATACAGTGAGGTGAGCCAAAACTACTACTTTCCACTGAGATTTTTTCCATTCTTTTTAATGGGATCACTAGGAGGATGTTGTTATACAATACTCTCTAAGTAGTAATACTCTTTGGAAGCACAGTTCATCGAAGCTTTGGAGAGCTCTGAAACAAAATAGGCAAGCTAGAAAACTGCACACTTCTAACTTGAAAGAGAAAATCTTGCCAAATCCTTTTATCACTACTTTAAGCAAAAAAAAAAAAAAAAAAAAGAGGTGGAAGCTGAGTTGCAGCTGCTTCGCACCGTTCTCGGAACGTTGTCACAAAGCAGTGTCATCCAAAGAGTGGTTAGGATGTCTGTCACAATAAGAGCATCAAAATTGGCTGTGCTATGTTGGCAGACCTCCCAGTCCCTGGGTAAAACAGAATCCAAAATGTGTGATGGTTGCATCCTCTTGGAACACAGATTCTGGGCTCTCTTTGGAGAGCAAAAGATTCTTGTCTGAAATGCTGGAGTCTCATTGTTCTGTTTCCAAGAGTGGATTTTTATTGAATCTTAATATTATCTAGATAATTTAAGAAAAAATAGGGKTTTTTAGCAAGCGGATCCCACTAAGTATTTCCCATGGAAGACGTAAGGTAATATTAGAACAGACAGTATTATTTAAAACATGTCATTGAATTTATCAAAACTGAATACTTATTCATCTTGACTATAGTAAAACATCAGAAAGGGAAGCTTCATGGGATATATGTAACTAGCATAGCTTGATTTGACCAGGAGAAGCCATATTTAAAGACAAGAGATATTTAAGTCTTGTGTTTTCATTCAGTCTTGTCATGAGGCTCAGAAGGGTAAACATTATCTAACTCCGTGCAATTTTAGGTTTTTAATGACACTAAAAAAGAACATCCCTGTCAGGCTATTCTGTTGAAATGATAGTTTGGTGTAGAATGGGATTCATCACTTGCTTTTGGGCATTTTCCCTTTTTAACTCGGATAGAAGTCATTGAGAGCAAAGTGAGAAAAGACATTTTGAGGAATGAGGAAAACTCGCAAAGATRATATTGAAACAAATGCAAGAAGTTGACCTGATCAGCGTGTATAAATACCTCGAGGGAGGGAGGAGGAGGGGGGCRGCCTCTYTTCAGTGGTGGACAGTGATAGGGCTAGAGGAAATGGCTTCAAACTGAAGCATCGGAAGTTCCACAGGAACTTAAGGAAGCATTTCTTCACTGTGAGGGTGACAAAGCACTGGAACAGGCTGCCCAGAGAGGTTGAGGAGTCTCCTTCTTTGGAGATCTTTAAAACCCGCTTGGATGCAGCCCTGTGCCACGTGCTCTAGGCGCCCCTGCGTGTGCAGGGGGGTTGGACTCGATGCCCTCTGAGGTCCCTTCCAACCTTCGGCATTCTGTGATTCTGTGAAGTTACTAAAGCTAAAAATAAATGAGCTGCAAGGCCTGATAGAAACCAGGGACAGCATCAAAGAGRCACAAATCATACCAGCTAGGTCATAAACATGTTGGAAGCAAATTATATGGAGGAAAAGAAGAATGGTTAGAGATGAGCCCCTTCTATAACTGCCACCGGACAGCAGTTATGCAGCATTAGTTCTTCCATTTCTCAGATTTTTTTCTGCCGAGCTTTGCTGTTTCATTCTGTACATTTGTTCTGTGCTTCTTTCTGCAGATCTTTGTTGTGTAATCTTGTCAAGATCAAGCTGGGATGTTATGAGCTAGAGCCAAATAGAAGTCAGTCTGCTGAAGATTACCTCAAAACCTTTATGGAAACAGAGGTGAAGCCACTTTGGCCTAAGGGCTGGATGCAGGCAAGGTAAGATACCTGCTGTAGAGCGGTTTWCTGTTCTGTGACTTTCTTGAACCTTACTTGTTGTGATGTACTTGTTTTGAAAGAAGTTTTTCTTGGAGAGCTATTCTTTTGTCATCTGACTGATTTTAGTTATGTCCATGATGCTTTTTTTTGAGATGAAGAAAGCAGTGACTGCTTTGAAAAGCTTTTCCTGTGATGGAGGGTGATGTAGACAGCAACATTACCTGCATCTTGGAAGCAGTCTGAGATGCAGTATGATATACATGTTAAAATTATAAGCTGGAATTTTAACATGAAAATTCTTTAAAATATGTATTTTATAGAAAATTTCATAATGTATGTATGGTCATTCTAGAGTACATACCTGCCAAAACTTTATTTGAAAACACATTAGGATATCRGGTACTCTCTGCACAGGAGAAGTGTGCTTAAGAAGTTCTGTCAGGTTTTAAAGCTTTCTCTAAAAGTGCCTTCAAGAAAAAGCAGTAGTAAGAGTTGCTTGAACAGCACTTCCTGTTGACCAGCAAGACTGTTTACAGACTGGGCAGTTTTCATACGCAATATGTATTCACATATTGATTATTACCTTGTAGTTGCACTTAGGAACTATTTTGAACACTAAGAAAGATTTCTATCGAGCATGTATTAAGATGTACCTTATCTAAGTTATCTAGCCTTTATAACAGAATCACAGAATATTCAAGGTTGGAAGGGACCTCTAGAGATCATCCAGTCTAACCTTCCTGCTCAAGCAGGCACACCTAGAGCATGTGGCACAGGGTGGCATCCAGGTGGGTTTTGAAGACCTCCAGAGAAGGAGACTCCACAACCTCCCTGGGCAGCCTGTTCCACTGCTCTGTCACCCTACCAGTAAAGAAGTTCCTCCTCACCTGGAGATGGAACTTCCTGTGCTCCAGCTTGTGGCCATTACCCCTTGTCCTATCGCTGGCCACCAGTGARAACAGCCTGTCCCCTTCCTCCCTGCATTCTCCCTTCCTGAACTTATACACATTAATCAGATCCCCTTTCAGCCTTCTCTTCCCCAGAGAAAACAGGCCCAGCTCACTCAGCCTTTCCTCATACGAGAGATGTTCCATTCCCTTAATCATCCTGGTTGCCCTTCTCTGGACCCTCTCSAGAAGCTCCACGTCCCTCCTATACTGGGGTGCCCAGAACTGAACACAGTACTCCAGGTGCGGCCTCACCAGAGCTGAGTAGAGGGGCAGAATCACCTCCCTTGACCTGCTGGCAACACTCCTCCTGATGCAGCCAGGATCCCATTGGCCTTCTTGGCCACGAGGGCACACTGCTGCCTCGTGGTGAACTTGGTGTCAACCAGGACTCCCAGGTCCCTCTCCGTGGAGGTGCTTTCCAGCAGGTCGAGCCCTAATCTGTGATTCTGTGATTCTTTATGGCATGGCTCMTTCCATAATATCCTGTTTTCTGTCTAAAAATCACAACAAGAGGTAAGTAATTTTGTCAAACAGGCAGTGACTTAAAGTGTAGCGACTTGGTCAAAAGGGAGATAAATATTCGGTTAAAAGTTACATTGTCAGAGACAGAAAAGAGAATATARATGTCAGCCCCTGCATGGTAAAACCACCAGTCTGTAAAAAAGAAACGATAATGTTTTCTTCCCTTTCTGGAARTTGCCGATGAGAACAACTATTTTTAACTCCATTACATTTGTTTAATGTATGCAATTGCCGTGCATGTTATACTGTGGCATTATAATTTATTGGTRACTGGAATTCCTCAGACAAAAAAGACTAAAGAAAAGACAAAACACAAAGGATGAGGAGGGATGTACAATTCTAAAAGCAGTGAGCTGAAATTGTCTTGAGGAAAGTCCCTGTCATTTCCTAACATTTTTTTCATAAGAATTCAGTAGTCTGTGGTGGAGAGTAATATAATACAGGCTTGGAGATTGGTGGGGCAAAAAAACAGATGTGAGGGTGGATATGAAAGTTTTAACTGTGGAATGGCAAACATTGGAACCATAGCAAGAAGATTTTAAATGTTTTCTTATTAATTTGCTTGAGACTTGTGGAAATGTGGATTTTTCTCTCAACTGTTGCAGCTCTGTGGGATGMCTTATCTGTGGTGAAAGCTGTTTAGACAGTGAAGTGGTCAGCGTTTACATGACAATATTGACCTAGGAAAATCTTGGCTGTTTCTGTGTAATAGCACTTTAGGCTATTTACTTGGGAATAGGGAAGGGGAATGAGTTGCCATTTGTAATTGGTTGGTTATAACTACGTTTGGATACCAAGCTGCAGTGTAAGTACAGGTCAGAAATTGTTCTGATTTTCCAGAGCAGGAGTTGATAAACCTGGAGTTAAAAGATGTGAACTTTCTTGGGATTACTCTGCTGAGTCTTACCACTCCCAGAGCTGCTCCGTTGGCTCCATGGTAAACTGCAAGTGTGTATGCAGTGTAATAGATGCCATAAAGGTGGTATACAGCGACTTATACAAAATACTGGAAAGGAAGCTTCCTGTCTGGTTTCCTACTTCCATCCCCTTGCTTGGGAAAGAGGCGGGGGGGAAAGAGGATGAGGGAAAACAGCCCGTGATCAATGCGGTGGTACTTCGAGTGAAGAGTTTAGGGAAATCCCTAATTTTGTATCTGAAATATTAACTGCTCTGAGAAGGGAAGAGAATTCGAAATGTTTCTCCTGTCCTGCTGGAAAAGGTGATAGTGTGACTTCTGTTTGGCCAATGGCCAATGACATCAGTATTTTGAATGTGAACTTAGTCATTTATGAAATGAACATTCTTCTGTTTATGCCTGCCTGTAACTGCACTGTGGTAGCAATGCGGGTAACTTGCTTTAGATCTGCTTTGAGGGTGGTTGAGTACTTGGGGATCATGTACTGATTGTCCCTGTAGAATCACCTTCTGTTTCTTTTCTCACCCTTCTTCCAGGATGCTTTTTAAAGAAAGCCGAAGTGTTCACAATCACCTCACTTCTGCTCCGTGAGTATAATAATGCTGACACTGGCTAGTATCTGTAGGTAGTTCATAGCATTACGTTACTTGGTTCTTGCTCCTTTTCCATCTTCATACCACCTCCTGGATAGAGAGGAAAGAAGGGGCATATCTAGGAGTTTGAAGATATTTATAAAGTTCCCCAATTTATAAWGTTTTAACATAGGCATGTTGAGTTGTAGCACTTCAGTTAAASAATCCAGTGGATATTCATTCTTGGATTAATGTCTTTTTTGTCAAAGTGTTTCAAAATGCAGTGTAATGCCTCAAATTTACTATGCAGCACAGTGGAGTGAACCCACAGACTGCAATATTTCCCACTCTTTTCTTCAAGAATATTTCCCTACTCACAGTAGACTCTGCRTTTTACCTTCCTGATTCTGACAGCTGTGTGTCTCTCTCAGGACCCAGTGTCATTAAGCCAATATTCAAGTCACTAGCTATGGCTTTGAATGTCATCTAAATGGCAACTTTTTGCGATAGAGATAAGCAGACTATTTTTCTACATAATACTAAAACTGTGCAGTGGTCCTCCTTCAGTAAGGTAGATACTTTTTAAAACCCAGCATGTTTCTGATTGCTTTGGAAAGGAAAGTACAAGACCTGTAAAGTGTTAAATCTGTTGATCCTTTGGARGAAATAGAAGTGAGACAGGAAGGTGAGAAGTGCTTAATTTCTAATTCGAAGCTGAGTATTAATGCTAGCCTTAATGCTAGCTTTGCTTGCATAACTGGAGTTGATACAATCGTGTTCATTGGAGCTGCAGGAAAGACTAGAAGCTTATTTAGCTGCTTGTTGCAGCAAACAAGTTGGATGTGTTTTACAGTTGACAAGCAACAAAACACTTCAGGGGGAGGGCAAGAGCACCCACCACAGATGTTTGTGTCTTGATGTAATACAAATGAGGGGAGACAAACAGCAATATAAAATGAAATTTATAGATGTTAYAGGTAATTTCAGTTTTAAGTAAAGCGCCTCTGCCTAGGCAAACTCTTAAAAATGTAGGAGGTTGAAATTATTCCATCTGAGTTTTTTCTAAACTGTGARAAGGACAAAGCAAGTGTTTTAGCTCAACATACACTAGATTGTTACCAATTCAATGAATTTTTATATGCAGTATATCTGCAGGGATCTAAGAAAGACAAATAGATTAAAAGTATGCCTSTTGTTTCTTTTCTTATCCCAGCCTCCACCCTTGTTGATATTTTGGCCTGATTTCTATTTCAAGGATAATGTGTGAWAGCTGTAGCACAGTAGTAATCCTTTTAGTTTAGATAGTATTAACTGCTACCCTCATTCTAACATGACACATCTTTTTGTCTTCTGATATGCATTTCTGTCTCCCTGATTTGCATCTCTCTCTCTCTCCCTCCTGTTTTAGGGCAAAAAAGAAGGTGATTCTGGCACCTAAACCCAAAGCGAAGGTAAATGCAACTTCTTTTCAGTGTAAGAGTGTGATATGACTCACTTGCAAATGTGACTTGAATAGCTTCTTGCCTGTGATCTGGAAAAACTCTGTCAGGAAGATTCTGTCAGAAAATAGTATTTTTAGGAAATGCTGCAAGAGGGGTTTATTTGCTTGCTGATGTAGACTTTAAACCAAATAATACAAAAGACTTGGAAGTTTAAATTATGTAAGTTTTGAAGATAGACTGTGAAGAGACAGTATTCCCATTGAAGTTTCAAATCAGAAAAGCTGAAGGGAATAGCATAGTGAGCTGATACTGCAAAGTAATGTCTACTGAGAACCTGTCTAAATTCAATGAGCATTTTTCCTGGAGGTCAGATTAGCTATCCTGTTTTTGACACATAAATTWTTCTCAACTGTGTGAGGTAGTCATCTTTGTGCAGCAACATTAGATTTTTTGTATAAATATTGAAATATTTTGTATAAATATTGAATTAGCACATGGATAGACTCAGATATCTAGGTATCGTAGGTACCTTTATATAGAAAATTCAAACATAGATCTTCATCTGAATTTGCAGCATGATAACATTATACCAAAGAAGACTTTCAGCTCCAGGAAGGCTGCTAAGCCTTTCTTTTTTGTTGTTTTCCCCTTCTTTTCAGGACTCCAGTCCAAAGAAAGAACAGAAAACCTGTATGTCTTCAGTCAATTCAGGTTGTGCTGCAACACTGAGTTCCAGCACCCCCGCCTGCACCCCAGCCAGCTCTAGCTGCGCACCAGCTCCGGAGACTATCTGCTTGGATGATTCGCTGGATGAAGACCTTTCTTTCCATCCACCCTCGTTGGATTCTATTTCGGATGCTCTGGCAGTTCTCAATAATGGTGCCAAGGGGTCACCTCTTGGGCCCACTGTAGAAACGCCACCATCAAGGCCCCGCCCAGGGCTGAGGGAAGAGAAGCTGGCAAGCATCATGAGTAAGTTGCCTCTGGCAACTTCAAAGAAAGTAGAGCCTGCTCAAACACCTCATTCATCAAGTCTTATTGCTGGTCACACAGGGCCAGTACCAAAGAAACCCCAGGACTTAGTTCACACTGGTATCTCTTCAGGCCTTATTGCTGGATCTTCAATTCAAAATCCTAAGGTTTCCTTAGAGCCTTTGCCAGCCAAACTACTTCAGCAAGGACTACAGCGGTCGAGCCAGATTCAAGCTGCTTCCTCCTCYTCACAGACCCATGTTTCTTCCTCTAAAACCCAAGCAGCTATTTCCACCTCCTCTCAACGACCCAAGGAGTCCAGTATCATGGTATCATCTTCAGAGACCCCAAGTGGTTCTTCCTCAACAACACAGGTGACAAAGGTGCACCAGCATTCAGCTGTACAGCAGAAATATGTATCTCCTTTACAAGCAACTATTAGCAAATCACAGACCAACCCAGTGGTGAAACTAAGCAGCAATCCTAAACTGTCTTGTTCCTCACCAGTCCTCAAGACTCAAGATAAGTCTGTAGTCTATCGCCTGCCTTTGTCTAACGCCTCGTCTGGAAGCAGCTCACAAGTATCTCACCCACTGGTTTCTCGGACAACATCCAGCACCTCTACCTCTAGTAACTATTTAGCCAAGGCTATGGTGTCACAGGTTTCTTCCCAGGGTTTCAAGCCTCCCTTCTCCATGGCTGCCTCTCCTAAACCTGCTGCCTCTCCCAAGTCCACTGCATCTAAGCCCTCTGTGACACCCAAGCCCAACGCATCACCTAAATTTTCATCTAAGTCCACCTCATCCCCCAGGCCTGCAACAACACCCAGTTCTTCCAGTTCAAGTGCACTAGTTTCCCAGAGTAGTCACTCCAGCAGCAACCCCCTTCATAAACAGACCAGTGGTGTAAATATCAGCAGGCAGTCTCCCACAGTGAATTTGCTGCCCTCTAATCGCACGTCAGGCCTTCAGCCTGCAAAGAACCCTCAGGCTTCTTCAAAATTGCCCAACTCTTCTCCTTCTGGAACTGTTGGCAAAAATAATTTGGGTGGAGTTGGAATGAATGTACCTGCCAGCAGAGGCAGTAACCTTAACTCGAGTGGAGCTAGTAGGACTAGTCTGTCTGGGGGAGCAGGAAGTGGAACACAGGGTGCTACTAAGCAGTTGTCAACTCCACACAGACCGTCTTCTGCCTCAGGGTCTCCAGTTGTAGCAGCCAGTGTGCAGGTATGCCTCTCATGGGTTTACATTTACATCTTGTGTTGATACCTACTACGCTTAATTCATAAATATCCTTTCTTAAAATAGCTTGCTTTGAAACTAAGTCCTTATAAGCCTCTGCTAAATGTAAAGATTAATAATGAAATCTGTTTACACTAATGAAATGGCATTTCCAGCTGATTATGAAATAAGTGGGTGGGGGGCAAGGAATCCTGCATTAAAATGACTGCTCTGTATGGTAGTGCTTTAAAACTCAGTGTTTTGGTTTATTTGTGTTTTTAAACACTGAAAAATGTAAGCTATGTGGCCATGTTTTTGGGGGCTGCAGTTTTGTCCTTCATTATTAGATACATATGTTCCTGTATACCTATATGTAATGATAGTGCTCGTATCAAAAGGTGTTTCAGAACACTTCTTGCCATTCTTCATGTTTAACTCGCAAAACTGAAGTTTAGCTTTTTGTGGTTATGGTGTAGTACAAGACATCTGTTAGAATAACACAAATCTTCTGTAATATTCAAGAATGAATGTATATTAGGATTTATTTTCTAAGGAAGAGCTCATCGATGCATGTTTCCTAGAAAGGTAAGACGAGCCAAACAAGTATTTTAAAACTGTTGTTCTAAAAGACTTGCAAACCGACTTACCCAGAAGACAATCTTATTAGGGGGTGATTTAATTACTGAGATATTTTGAGGTGCTTTCATCTTCCACTTCTTACTGCTGTCTTTATTACTTCAGTAAAGTGAAAGGCTAAATCATTGCAAGTCAGAATCCTGGTCTGAAGTAAATTAGAAAAGCTGTGCGTTTTTTGAGGGTTTGATGGCTTTTGTGGGTTTTCTGTGGCCCCCCCGCCCTTAACAGTGTACATAGCTATTACATGGATAATTCCTTTCAATAGTGCTTTATAATATTSTTTTAGTATGCTATTGTTTTTTCCTTTTGATGCAGATGAGCAAGACTTTCATAAGGCATTTTTGTGTCTTTTTCACCCTACTATATTTAAATAGATGTTATATTAAACAAGAGATGTCTGGCATGGTCTGACACGGCCTTCCCATTTTGGGTTCTTGGAGTGGGAAAACACAGTCAATACCCTGTAAGGGCCACAGAGGTGCCACACAGGGCCTGGAGAAGAGTTGAACCAGCTACGATGCATATATACATACATACGTACACACACACACACACACACACACACACACACACACACACATATATATATATATATATATATATAATGTGTATGCCTGAAAGTTCTAATTGCCAGCTAACTGAGCTTAATTCCAGACCAGCTATAAGGTACAATATGCCAAGGAAGGGAAGCAAATTCCAAATATGTAACATAGGACTGAAGTGAATATTCTTTTCACTAAGTGCTTAGTAATACCTTTCTAAATGAGATTATGCTAATCAACCCGAAGGTAAGAATGATGCACGAGTTTAGAATATCCTGACCTGCATACATAGAAGGTCAGACCAGGTGATTTGATCTGATAACTGTTTTTCCCATCAGGGAAGGGTTTCCAAAAGGTGTGCTTGCTTCCTTCTTATCTAATAGCTATTTGCTTGGATATGAATTTGCTCCTACTGTAGCTTCACAGAAATTTTGCTATAAACTACTCTGGCTGCATCTTTAGAACACAAAGCCAAAGTAACCTGAAAATTTAGAAGCCATGTTAGAGCTTCTTGATGAAATCACGTGTATTTGTATTTTTGAGCAGAATCTGTCTTAGAGTTTTTAGGTCTTAATGACTCCAACTTATATGATCAGGGTGGTGCTACTGTAGCTGCAATAAATGGAAGCATTTGAACTATAACTCTTACTGTGGCATTCTCTGTAAGCAATTTCCATCAGTGAAGTTCTGTCCTGTGTCAGGATGTAAGCAAGGACATGGAAGAGCATGTTCACAAASCTGCTTTCCTTTTCTAAGGCATTTTACAAAGGAACAATTGGAAGAAATAACACTGTTTTCTTTCATTTCACACTAAAGATTAAATAGTGAATGATTGTCATAATCATAATTTCTCATGGGCTTATTGTGAAATATCTTTAAATGCAAAAGAATAAGAATTTGTTCATAAAGATTTTCATCCAGGTTCTCCTATAGGTGTGAGTTGAAATATTTGTTTTATATGTAGACAGAAGCTGTAGCTCCTAAGATTGCTAATACAGAGTATCTACAAATGTATCTTTGTATATTTAGAGTTATATATATGATATAACTATGTGTAGCTTTAGACATTCAAAGGTAATGTCTTAATGTTTTCTTGTGAGCAGCAGCTAAACTTCTATTACCTGCTTTCTACACTAAGAACAATATTAGTAGTGGAAACTTAAACTATTTTCTTTCTGGTAGTTCTCATCACTTTGCTTTTTTTCTTTGCAAATTGTTATAATAGAATTCAATAATACCTCCTTTTCACTATGGTCTTGGATATTCATTAAAATATACTTAAGATTTGTTTTTAATTAAGGCATATGTGTCCAAACATACATGCCCAGGACTGCTGTTAACTCAAATACCTATAAAATACCTGAGCTGTGCTGCAAACTAACAGATCATGTGAGAATTGAACAGTAGCATGTAAAATTGTGATATGTTCAGTGAGGAARAAATAGTTAAGCACAAATGTGCAGAGCAGCTCCTTATGTTTGAGGAGATGGTGCGGATTGGGAACCATCGTAGCTAAARCATTCTGCTTAATATTTTTCCTTCTTAAATTACAATGCTTTGAGCTTAGTTGTGACTTATGAAGGAAGGCAGATAATTTTCCAAGCAGGGAACTTTTCTTGCCTCTTRCTCTTAAGTAGTCTATATGCATTTTTGTATAGGCATGAGTGTACATATATATATGTATACCTGCACCTTGGTAGCCTGACACTTGAAGTGTGGTTTGTTCTTAAATATGGATTTTGGCTTTTAAAAACCTTTTTTTTTTTTTTTAAGAAATCATGTCAGGGAGTAATTTTGAAGATCTTTAGATCTGTCTATTGTGTACTAATTGTGTACTATCAATACAATGGAAGATGTTGCTTTAAAATTCTGACTGCTGATCATGTGCCTAATTAGTAAGGGGATAAAGGAAATTGCCTGCAAAACTAATAAGAAAAACTTAGTTCAACCACATTGCCATTCCTGAATCTGAGATGTGGTTGTGCTTGCCTAGCAAGTTAACAGTGGCAAGAGCTCCTAAGTGGATAATAAATAGATATTTATAAGCAGTTCAAGGACCCTATCTAACTGATAATAGCTGACTCTTGCCTCCTTAGAGGAGGCTACTGAAAGCTTTAAAATCTCAAGGCACCTCTTCTCTTTGTGCAGTCAACAGCAGGAGCATCGCTACTGGCGAACGCCTCGCCTCTGACTCTCATGGCATCACCACTGTCTGTAACCAGTCAGAACGTGACATCGGCGCCGTTGGCTCCTTTTGGGATGCTGGGCGGCCTTGTTCCTGTCACCGTGCCCTTCCAGTTTCCCCTGGAGCTGCTTGGCTTTGGGACGGACACAGCCGGAGTGACAACCACCTCGGGATCTACCTCAGCAGCTTTCCACCACAGCCTAACTCAGAGTACGTGATGCTACTGGGCACCCTTCTGTAGTGAAGGGAAGCAGCTAAAGATCTAAGTAATGTAAATTCAGTTCCAGAAAATATATAGGGGAGATGAAATGTGAACTCTATTTTTCTAAATGTGAACATTTTWAAAAAGAAATGGATAGATTGTCCTTGATAGATTTAACTTTGTCATTGTTGCATTCATAGTAGATAGCTGTATTTGTGTGTACTTTTTCAGGTTTGTTCACATATCTTAAAAAAGGAAATATATTGTGTGTATCTTTAAAATCTCCAAATTTTACAATATAAACAAAACATTTTAAAGCTGTGATCATTCAAAAAAGTCCTTAGTTCACTAACGGCTTAGAGACTCATTCTAAAATTATTTTCATAGCTGAAATTCCCTCCCAAAGGAGGGAGTCCATTATTTTCAATGCCTTAAAAGAAAGTCTTCAAGTTTTTAACCTGAATCAGTTAATTATTTTTTTCTTTCTACCTAAGAAATGTTATGAAGAGCTGCATTTTACAAAAAAAAAAAAATTGTTCCATGCTATCTTTCGATTACTCTTACCTGAATAGATCAATTTCTAGTGTGTATCACAGCCATCAAAATGCTATCAGTTATTTGTTGCTCGAGGCATCTCAAGAAATAATTATTATAGTAAACTGAGATGATTTTATTTCCATAAAAGTTGTATTTACTTTCTCTGCTTCTGTTCCATTTCTTCTTTTGCTCTTCTCTTTAGACTTACTGAAGGGTTTACAGCCAGGTGCTCAGCATGCAGCAACACTGTCTCACTCACCTCTGCCTGCTCATTTGCAGCAAGCTTACACAGGTAAAGATAGTGTTCCTCTTCCTTACTCCATTTAATTTTGAGAAAAATGTAGAATTTTTGCCTTARACTGAAATAAAAGGTTTGCCAGGTTGGAAAATAATTTAGAAAAGATGTAGATGACATGAACAAGGCTTGATAGTGGCAGATGGTGCAAACTCTGCTTTAGTGGTGTTTTTAAAACCTGAATGACTTCTTATACCCATCCTTGATAACAGGGCAAAGAAAGCTCAATAAATCTCCCAGTAATGCTTTACTTGCAGCGGTTTGGGAAATCCAAGCCTCTAATCTCAACCAACAGAAGACTACTACTTCATAGCCACTAAGCTGATTATTTTTTTACAGCCTGTATGAAGGCTGTATTGTGGCTGTAAAAGCTGCTTGATGTTTCTTCTAATTTTTTTATGCATGTGTGAGCAATGTGATGGTTTCTAATGGAAGATATGTCTTCTCTGAGAACTGTTCTCAACAAAATTATATATTTTGAAAGCACTTGGAGTAGTATATTTCCTTTTCCTGTTTGTGAACCAGAGTGATGAAAAAACATCATGTAGTTTCAGAAGACAGTGTAATTCAGTGTGCTCGTCTCTGCCTATTTTTAGCCAGATATGGAAACAGGAGAGGTACCTGTGACTTGGCAGGTTCTTCATCCTCCTCTTGGAGTACTCAGCTGCCAAAGCTGACAGATGCTGCTCTAAGAGACTTMGAAAACAACGAGATTGCCTCTGTTTGGCAATCTATCTATCTATCTTTAATCTATCTATCTTTAATCTCTTTGTAAGAGTACCATGGATTGACTCTTCAAAAACTACTTTGTTAGGAGAAGATTGTTACAGTGTTTTTTGTTGTGTAGTGCTTTAACTGCAACTTAAATTTGAGAGAGGTGTTACGGCAATGGGCTTTCTGATAATGCTAAAGCTGGCCATGCTAAGTAATCCCCCATCCCCCTTTTACGTTGTAAGGTAGAAAAAAAATGACTCATGACTTTTTCTGTCTCTAAATTACAGATGGAGGCCAAAGTAAAGGGGACACTAAGGTACAGCGGAAAAACCAGTGACTTCTGGACAAGCAAGGGAGTTGAAGCAGTTCTGGTTGGCTGACAGAATGTGCCCAGTTGGGAAAGTGCTTATTGTCACAGGGCTGCTGTTTCTGTCGATGTTTACATATTCTGATCCCAAGCACTGTGGTGAGAGGAAGAAGAAAGAAAACAATACTTGATCAAAGAGAGAAGGAAAAGGAGGACTGGTCCTCCTGGTCATGCAGACTGGTTGTAGTTTGATCTTGCCTAAAAAAAAAAGAAAGAAAAAAAAAACTTTTATCTGCTCTGATTGGCTTTTTTTGAAAAAATTGGTTGTCAAACCCACAGCAGCACAAACATATTTTCTGGGTGATGTCCAATGAAAAGTTGAAAGTATGAGAGGAGCTACAACAGGCTTCATCCATTGTGGGAGGTGGAGTTGTCCCCTTAGTTCCTTAAGTGCCCAGCATAAAGTTATATGTAGGTCCTRAGTGTAAGCATATGTTTGCGGACCAAAGGATGTATAGAGTAGAGGTGGTGTTGGGATACTTTTGGGTTATATTTAACCTTACACAGATACAGAGTTTCAGATATGGGCATTTTTCCAGCTTTATGAGGCTTTTTGGCTTTAGGGAGCCTACATATATATATATATATATATATGTGCAGTCTCATTAGTCCCAGAGAGTTGTCTTCAAAACAGATCTCCTGGTACATGAGATGTAAGAGACAGACTACTGGGAACCCCCTTGCTCCTTGCTTTTGTTCGTTCATTAACACAAGTCTTATTTAAGGGCAGAAGGGAGTGGAAATGTTTCATCTTACATAAAAAGGAAATTTCCGTTTTATTGGTCAGACTAGCATTTCTTCCCTGTTTCCCCTTTGCCCTCCTCCCTTTCTTTTTTTTTTTAAAGTGGGGTATTGTAGTTCATTCACTTGGGTCTGTTTTGCCTTGTCCCTTTCTGTTACTAAAATGAAGTAATGTCCTATCACATGCTTTA